ACGTCCGTCTTTTATATACAGTCTTTAAGGTGTAAGGCAGGTTTCCTGTGAAGAACAGAAGCATTTACCTCCGTCTGAGTCCTGTGCAGCGAGTCCGTCGGCCTGCAGTATGTGGACCTGAGTGACCAGAGAGGGATAACCACACATCCCCGACCAGCAGGTCTTCCGGGGCTCGTGCAGAGTCAGCTCCCTGCGGGACAGACAGGAAGATCCGTTTCTGTGGTTCAGTGTTTAAATGTGCAACGCTGAGTACACACAGAATGATAATTAATGCTTTCATGTGTTGTTGTTTTCATAAAGTCTTTATTGGCTGCGTGTCTGAACTGAGAGGAATCTCCCCTGACTCTCAGTTCCCAGCATTTCTGATGGATTTTATGGAAAACAAGAGTTTATTTTCCCCTGAAACTGCAGCAGGGAGACCGTCCGCCGTCTTTACTGTTCGCCTACATTAATAGAAACAGAAGAAAATTTCTGAAAATGGCGAGCTAAACCATGTGTGCCGCGTACTTGCAGTCTGAGGTGACATCGGTGAAGACGCGGAGCAGGAATTCTCCCTCCAGGCCGGGGTCGAAGGTCGTGGGTATGATGACGTAGCGGCCCTCTTTGAGGTCGATGCGCAGGAAGACAGACCTCGAGTTGATGTAGATGCTGCCGCCAACCTTCTGCTGGGTCACGTGCATTCGGTACGTCCTGTTTAACTCCACCTGAACAGGAAGCAGCAGACGTTTTCACTCCAGTTTGAGCTTTTCACTTTAAATTACTGAATCCAATACAGCCGTCCTTTAAATACAAACGACCTGGAGATTTTATAACAACGCCCGTGAATATCTGACCTTGTGTATGTCGAAGCCGATCGCCAGGTTTTCTCCTCGCCCCCCTCTCAGAGTGGCCCTGCGGTCCTTCTGCTGTAGACAGATCAGCACCTCATCCTCCGGCTTCTTCACGTCAAACACGTACTGCGACACACAGAAACGAACATGCACACCGTCATAAACGCACAGGATGAATTTTAACCTGAAACTCTGAACAAATGAGACACCTGCGGGTTCTGGAGAAAGGAGTGCTTGTTGTTGGTGCAGCCCCCAGCTCGGTTGAGCAGCGGGTCATCGTGGCGGTGCCAGGAGCCCCGCATCACCGCCTCCTCCCAGGTCTTGTGTAAACTCAGGTAGGATGTGTTGATGAGACGACACAGGATGAGGTCGGTGAAGTTGGCGATGAAGTCATCAAATGTCATCCTGCAGGAGGAAGAGAGAAAGGACTCGCGTGATTTACTGTGAGATAAAGTTGAAAAAGAGCCACCAGGTGGCAGCGCAGCACTAAAACTCACCAGAACTCTCCGTCGTCCTCCACAGTGACGCCCATCTTCTCCCGCTCACTCTTACTGACCTTCTGCCACTCTTCAGAGCTGCAAACAGGCACAAACGCTTCATCTGTATCA